TAACATAACAGTTGCCAAACTCATAGATTTTTGTTATATTCTTTTTTTGTGAATAAACTTCAGCCACTGCATCCTATAACTCTTTAAAGTAGTTACAATTGAAACATGTGGGGCTTAAATTTGGTTGCATAGAGTTTAGTTAACATTTTCAAAAAGTTTGATTGCATAGAGTTTAGAATTCAGTTCATAATAATAATCTCGGCAACTTCCATCTAATTGCACTATACAACCATCAATTAATACTCAATAGTCACTCAGTTGGGTGAACTCATTAGAAGTCTGTATAAGGCACAAGTAAACTCTCATTCAGATACCCATTTTTACTGTCTTGTTCTATATTAATTTTGTTCTCTCTTGAACTTGAGTAAGTTAAGTCGGTGATCTCGATGTGTTTTGCCATTCTTGTACGAAGAACGAGTGAATTTGCTGATAACCATTATGTACTTAGAGTTTAATCTTTGTTGTGGGGGCAGATACTATATTGAAAATGTGCCTTTAAGCAGTGATGATGTGCCATCATTTCTTTCCTACTTGTGCACCGAGTCCCACATTGGTGTTTTAGAAGAGATGTGAGTATATATGACCTCTTTTCCCTTTTCTTGCGTTTCTTTTCACTATAATTGCATTATATAATAGTAGAGTTTACAAAAGGTGGTGACCGAAATGGTCACACAATACGAGCCCAAGAGAGTCCAAAAAAGACAACCTGCTGCTAGAATGGGAATAGAAGGCAGCACAACGGCTCTGAAGCCTAAGAGCAAGAATTTAGTGAGGCTCCTTCTTTTGCCAATCTATCAGCATCAGAAGTTACTTCTCTGAAGGCATGACGCCAGGAGATCATGTGGTTGCTTGTTAAATGAATAATCTCATCAAATATGTTGTCGAGACGCCAAGGCCATGACAAGTGGGTGGATGCCCAACAGATAATGTTCTTGGCATTATCTTCCACCATGATGTCGTGACTCCAGGTGTGGTCTAACTTGTGAAGGCCCTCCAAAAGGGCTAGAGCCTCAGCAATAGTGGAGTCCTCAATACTGGTAGGTCGCGAAAATGTCAGCAAGGTACTACCATCACTAGAGCAAAACAATCCCCCAATACCTGAGGGAGACCCCTCTTCGGGTGGTCTCCACCACGAGGCCCTCGAGATTCTATGGTTTGCTCGAATTAGTAAGTTGGACCAATTGCTAAGGAAGTCCTGGAGGGAGAAAACTTGAATAGAGCATGATTGGATGCCCAGAAAGCCACTAGGTTCCTGATTTTCTCTGCCAGCTGTTTGACCGTGGACTTCGCCCCCCCGAAAGATTCTATGATTTCTTTCAATTCACAACACCCAAATGGTGGCTGAGAGCGCATCTTTCCAAAGCAGCCTTCCTGCCTTAGGCCAAGGGGTAGAGAGAAAGACTTGAAACAAATGAGGAATGCTGGAAGGCGTTACCCAAACTCAGTTGAACAAGCACTAGGTGGACCTCCAAACTGCTCTAGAGAAGGCGCAGTGGAGTAAAAGGTGAGAATTGGACTCCTCTTCCATCAAGCAGAGGTTACATCTGTTTCGGAGTTGCACATCTCTTCTTTGAAGTTGATCCACGGTCAATAATATCTCGTGCAACGTGATCCAGCAGAACCTGTACTCTCTTGGTGGAATAAAAATATTTCAGGCCTTGGAAGCAATGACAAGAAGTGGGCCCAGGGGGGTGGAGAGGGCAGTGATGGTGCTGAAGAGGGAAGCCACCGAGAATAAACCCGAGGCTGTGGGGGTCCAAATAATTCTATCCTCCCTAGAGGAAGGTAAGAAGACGGAATGTAGGCATTCTGCCAAAGAAGTAAGGTTTCCAGGCCCGTGGTCAAAGATAGATCTCCTAAACTGAGGCTTCCAAGTTCTGAGGGCACAAGTTGTCGCCCACTGAGGGCTGGCCATCCTGGGCTAGAAGATAAAGATTGGGAAACTGATCTTTGAGGGGGGAATGACCTATCCAGGTGTAATTTGACCCTTTACCCCTCTCTAGGGTGAAATCCAATGCGGCTTAGAAACATTTCGTGGGTGCAAAGGACGAAACTCAAGAAACCAGAGATCTGGTTTTGCTCTCTGAGATTTAATGGCTGCTCCCTAAGCAATATTTGTATCTTATTACCTCCGCTCAGAGCTGGCCCGGCTGGGTCATGATCCACCACCATTTGCCCAAGAGGACCTTATTGTGATTTCTGAGGCCTCTGATTCCCAAACCCCCTTGGGATTTTGGCGGGCACAATATGTCCCACAAGATAAGATGAAACTTATGACCATGCTCCCCGGCCCAGAAAATGTTCCTGAGAGTGCGCTCCAACCTATTAGCCACCAAGGCTGGGATGAGAAAACGAGACATCTGAAACATTGGGGTAATAGCCAGAGTAGCTTTAATCATGGTAAGTCTCCCTGTCTTTGATAAAAATCTGCCTTTCCATCTTGCGAACCTCCTATCAAACTTATCTAGAATATGGCTCCTTTGGGATAGATGAGGCATGCCGAGTCAGAGTGGAAGCCCGAGGTAAGCGGATGCAGTTGCTCGACAGAGCAGCCCCATCTGTTAGCAAGAAAGAGGACCCTCGACTGGTCAGAGGATACAATGCCATATTTTTCTTTTGTTTTCGAATAGAAGATAGAGAATGTTCTCCTAGATGCCTGGAAAGCAGGTGACCCATGTGCACACACACATGTATGAGTGCGAGCAAGCAAAGGTGCCTGAGATGCACTTTGCACATTCATATTAGCTCAAGGAGCCTTAGCATGTACTAGTTTGGGTTCTTGCTCTCTTTATCTTTGCCTAGCAAAAGAGAAAAACATCCAGTTGAATGGAAATGGGCGACTGCTGGCTAATTTTTACCATCTAATTAAGAAACTATGGGATTATATACTATGAGACCATTTATTTTTAGTACAAGGAGGTCACAATCACTTTTGGCCATTGGATGTGAAATTCAATAGATGAAAGTGTGTCACAATATTTAACAAATTTTATTTTGGACTTTGTGCCCAAACAATGGCATGTAATCAACCACCAGATTTAAAATCTAACGGTTGATGATGATTGTGAGCTTATATCAGAAGTAAATTGTCTCATTGTATACATTTTCAAAAACTATTACCTACTTTCATCGGCACAGAGGCACCTTCAGGCCAAACATGTGGCACATGCGAGTTTGTAGGTCACTCTCTTGTTCTTGACTGCAGGGTAACTTTGGTCCAGGAAAAGGGGAAGGTGTCCTATCAAATGAAATGGGGTGATTATTGTCCACTTAGCTGACAATCATTAGCTGGTGGTACTTTGGTGCTATTTTGAAGCATGGTTTATAGGCTTATACCTATTCATGGACCCATTGGCATTTAGTTTTCTCATAAACTCCACTTATATCCAATTGGTTTAGAACTTGGGGATAACTCAACTAAATTTCCAAATCTTATTAGGAAAAACAGAATCCATTTCTTTATTTATGGCCTCTCTCCAATTATACAAGGTCATGTGCTGCTAATGTTTCACGTAATGTGGTAGGGTCACCCTCCATAATAAGAATCATGAAGATCCTCCCAATATATTTTGGCATGCTTTTGCTCAGTTCTGCATCCATGTCATCTTCATTTATGGGTTCATCATAAGCAACATCATTGTCATTCATAGGTAGGTTGGTTATGTTTTGTGGTTCATATGATTTGTTGAAGTCTTGTTTTCATTTATGGGATCATCTAGATTCTATACTGGCATTAGAACTAATTCTTTTTCATTTTGTGCATATCCCTATGAGCATATATTTAGAACTTTGAGGTCCTAGTTTAGTTTTTCTAATGTTTGGAATCTTAATACATGCTGAACAACCCCATTCTTTGAGAAATCCTTAGTTTTTCTACCAAGCCAAAGTTTATATGGAGTTGTCTGCTTTTTTATAAGAGATCTATTAACAATAAGACATGTATAAAGTAAAGCTTCAACTTAGAGATAAAGGTCAATCAAATGATGTTGGTATCCACCTTCTCTACTAAAGTTCTATCTCTTACTGTGGGGTACAAGGGGTGGTAGTTTGATTTATAATCAATGATTTTTCATAGAAACCAGAAAACTCATGTGATGAATAATCTCCGTCCCTCTATTCTTAAAATATTGATTATCCTATGATTTCGACTTCAGCTTTATAAGCCTTAAATCTTTCCAAAGCTTCATTATTATGCTTTAATAAGTAGACATAGTTGTAGCAAGAGAAATAATGTATAAGGTTGTGAAGTATCCTTTATCTCCTCTACTTAAAATGTTGTTTAAACCATCTACTGAAGTTGTATTTCTTGCTGATGGCCAGCTATGTTTGCTTCTCCATTTCCGACTAGGAAGTACATGGCAATGTAAGCTTAAGTTCTACGATTTCTACCAATTTCATGGACCGCTTGTTTCACAAACAGACTGAGCTTAGTGTTGCTATTTGTGATTTCCTACTTCTAGGTGTCTTTTACCTCATGAACATTAGTGCAGGTTATCATGTTGATTATTTATGCAGTTGTAATCCAGTAGTCGAGGGCTTTCAGGACTACTATCAGTCACCATTGTCAGGATACACTTATGGGTGTTGTGCACCTTGATGGTTAGAGTAGGAAATATCATTGATTACCCAACAGATTCTGTGATTGACTTTATCATTCAGGAAATACTGTTGAAACATTTAAGGGTATAAGGGTTATTTAATTGATGATTGCTTTGCAATATAATATCTAACGGATAATTTGAGTAAAAAGACGTACATTCAGTTTATTTTTTAGCTATGCCCTGTATCAATTTGGATGCTTTGAGTGGCATATGTGTTGTCACTCATTAGTAAATTGCATTTGCCTTTTCTGTTCATTTCTGTTTTATTTGAACTTGAAACCATAACTGGTGCAGCCTCCCTCCCTCCCTCTCTTTCTCTCATGGCAAGGGATGCTATTCGGTTGTATATTGCTGTCCATTTAGGCAATGTTTTTTTAATTGTCTTGGCTCCTTTGGCAGGTTTGGCAGTCAGTCAGCCACACAGGGTCCAGATGCAGTGGGAAAATCAGAAGAGGAGAAAAGGAAGGCCAGGGCTGAGAGGTTTCTATTTGCTTTCAACATTTCTGCTCTAGTTCAAAGAAAGGAATTCCTTGATTAAAAAAAATAATAATAATAAAAAAAATAAATAAATAAAAAAATAAATTAATAAAAAAATAAAATAATAATATATATATATATATATATATAGTATATATATATATATATATATATATATAGTTAGT